TGGGCCTGGCCCCGTGGTTTTTTCCCCCTTTCAGGGGTTTTCCACGTAAAAAACTCTGGTGTCTCTTATGAATGCTACACCCTCTCACTTATCTAATTGTGTGCTGGATCTTCGTACAATACTAAGACATTAAACTATATTTCTCTACCGCCGTGAATACTCCAGGACGCAACAGAAATGAATAGATTAAAATTAAAAATCATAAGCTAACATGAAGTTGGAATTAGTAATATCATTAAGTCCGTATATTAAAATTATTAAGATTGCATGAGAACCCTTAATTAAGTAGAAACTAATATTCAAAATTATTAACTTTGTATTACACAAAAAAAGAGAAAAAAAAAACTACAAATAGTTCTACAAAAGAAAAAAAGAAATAAAAAATATCAAAATGAGTACATTCAAAAATTGATATCAATGAAAATATAAGATTTGAAATACAATCTAATACAAAAACTATAAATGATAAGATGAGAGAGCTAATATAAGGGGTGGTGAATTAATGAATGTATAATTTTAACTACAATCATATCCAATTATTAAAACTATATTATTCATTTCAACATTCAGAAATTAATGATTAAATATATAACCTATAATTTCAAATTAGATAAAAATAAAAATGATTGATTAAGTTTAACTATTGGTATTTTTCCAAATTAAAAGTATAGCCTTATTTATTTTCACTAATTCTAGACAGTGATGCATTATCTTATATTTTATTAGTTTTAGATTGTCACTTTTTACTTTGGTTAATTATTTAATCAGAATTACAAAGTTTTATTTACTTGAGGATAAGAAAAAGTTTAAGCTAGGGAGGATATGATTTTGTATATAATGTTATGTTGTATATACTAATTTGTCAGTGAAAACGTATTGTTTTAATTATATTTGTGCAAGAAAAATATCGAAAATATGTAAAATTTTAAGTATGGTACAACGCCACGACTTCAAATATAATATCACCACGGCACTGTAATTGACATCGCTAGAGCACCCAAATACAAACATGGCAGCGCTTAGTCTCTGTTTAATAGTGTCGCGATGTTAGAGGAGGCAGTGCTATAAAGAATAGTCTCTATCTTCACAACGTCGTGTTGCCAAATTCCAATACCGCCAAGCCAAGGGAGTCACGTGAATGTTGCAGCACTCAATCGACAGCAGCACTGCGGCGCTACTATTGTAACTGTTCAGGATAAGATCTACCAGTGAAGCGACATTTTTATCAACTAAGGGTAGACCCATGTAAGAAAGCACCACAACGGAGGAGATCCTTCAGCACTGCGGCATTGGTTCATTTTATGGGTGTCACAGCGCAAGAGCTCCAAATAATGCGGTGCTAGAGTCCATTTTCTATATTTTTTTATAAATAATATGTTTGCAATGTTAGTAAGGGAGTTCAGTTACTTAATTTATGTTAGTCTTCATAGTGTTTCTCTATAATTTCTTTAGAAATGAAAACTAAGAAAATTCAGGGAGCACTAGATCTACTTCATAAGAGTGTTTGGTTAATTTTTGTGGAAGAGATTCTATAAGTTCAAAGAGTGTATAGGAGATTATTGAACCATCTAGTAATATTTTTTCTTCTGTGCGTTTTTTTCTTTTGTGCAATTAATGAACATGAGTTTGGTCAATTAATTAATGAATATATTGAACCATCATGTCTGGCTAAATCCTCTAGTTTTGGATTGATTGTGTAAATGGAATGTGGAGTACTAATGAATTCTATTCATTAATAATTTAGTGGTAATTTCAATTTAGCAGGTCTTCATTTAATACACATAGTGGTCATATGTGTAGTTAATATCAGGTGTAATGTGGAGCCTAAGAATATAAAAGCAGGCACAATCATATATGTTAGATTGATATGATGCAAGCAAAAGCATAGTGCTTGACATGTATCAAATTTATAGAGATGAATTGTCATGAGAGAGTTTTAACAGTACATGCTTTACTTACTCTTCTAAGATTTTCATAGGGTGACAAACTATGAGAGTTTAGAGTGATATTGAGATTGAAATGATTTAATATGTCATTTATCTCTGCAAGCTTGACTAAGCGGTCGGTGAAGCATATGCTCTGAATAACATCAATATAAAAGAGAATCATTAGGAAACATGTTATTTTCATATTCCATCAATCCAAAACATTTTATCCAAATTGTGTTTCATTTAATTTTTCTTTGATTTTAATTTAAGTGATTGAATGTGCACTGATACCTATTTTTATTGAGTATGATAACTGTTGTAAGACAATAATAGTATATACAAGTAAACATTCTTTCTCATGAGATAAACACTCTTACTCTGTCACTATATTACTTGATTTGGCACATATACTTGCATATATTAAGTGATTTTTTAATAATTTTTATATCAAAAAAAACCTAAACATTGTTTAGGGATTGATATAGCCCTAAATCAATTTCACAATTCTTTATATTACTCCACTGCTCCCATCAACCTTCAATATCACCATTAACTGTATATAATTTGAATTGGATAATTGGATAAATAATTGATCCTTAAGCTTGATCATGAACTAAAACAACACTCCATTAATCTCATTTGAGAGGTGATTTTAACATTTATTGAGGTGGTACATCTTTCTTGAACCATTTCTATATTATATAACTCAAAAACTCTAATAATATAGTTATTTGATTAGAATACAAATTTTAGATAACATTAAAACACCTTGAAATACAATGATCAATAAATTATATCAGCACTTTAGAAAGAAAGTATGAACCCATCTCTCAAAATTGACTTCATACTTTGACTAGCCAATTATGATAGAATTCTTATACTAATTTTTGTCAAAATATCAATAGAACTAGGCCCTTCTATAAGCTTTAGATTCCAAGTGATAATTTTCATATTAATTATCATTTTTTTTAACTTTTTTATGATATTTATCATAAAATGATAAGTAGAAGCTTCATGGTATGCCTTTGAAAATGTTGTAGATAAAACATTAACAATATTAATATTTTTATCACAGAAAGACTATGAACTCGCTTAATCTAACCAATAAATCATTATTTTTAGTTAAGTATTATAGATACTAAATAAATTTTGAGTATTCACATTAGGCCACAACCATCAACAAAGTACCTCCATATTAGATCAGCCCATACACTCATAAAGATACAAATGAGGTGCATCTGAAAAAGTATGATTTTTCTACATACAGAACAACAACATCAAGCTTTTATCCTACAACGATATAAAGTAAAATTAATTCCCAAAATGTTGCTCAACATTTTTACCTTCGATGAGATTTTCCAGTGCATCGGCGGGGAGGCCGATCATTTTCAGAGATTTCTCCCACACGGCCTGAGAGGTTTCGAGATTGTGAGCTTCCTCCGATGCATTTGCCGGCCGACAGTCATGCGAGATGTAGGCGCAAACAGGCCACTCATCAGCTTTCAGCATTGCGCAATAATCAGGAACCTGAGGATCAGTTGCGGCGAAAAGGGCACTTCTTGAACCTGCAATTTTCAAAAACAAAATATAAATTCCATTTATTTTCCCACTGATAATGAGACTAAGGTTTTGTTTGGGACAGCTTTCATAGTTCTTTTTAAAATGATTTTCTAGTACAAAATTTCTAAATTCAAAAATTTTTTATAAAAAAAAAAGCTATTCTAGAAAGCAAGAAGAAAGCCGTCCCAAACGAAGCATAAGAGCTTACAAGAGGGAAAGGAATCTGAAAAACTAACCTTCCTGGGCATCAAAAATGAAGTAGGGAATCAAATGATACCCTGCTACCAAAACTTTAGGAAGATCCCTCGCCTATGTTTAGAGAGGCAAGCATTAGCTACTACAGCGAATGGATGAAGGGGGGTTTAGTAAAAAAGATTGAATGATAAATAAAGGGAATCTCTAAATGTCAATGTTGCAAAATTTTGATTGAAATACATAATTAGAGTAATTCTACGTGTCCTGACTATAAATAAATTCATTTTTTTTCCTCAGGTTAATGGTATATGGAATTTCAACTTTATGTGCCCCACAATATTAGATATTAGAGAAATATACCTAGTATTTATCTCGTAAGAAAATGTGCCTAAAATTTTGCATTTAACAAAAATACTGTTGATTTATCAAAATAGAAGTCGAAACCCTTGCAAAATCAATCATGCAAACTTTCAAACAAGCAGCTACTCGACTCTCTTTGCAGATGTTGTTCACATGTGATCAATATGCGGGAAAGTTCCAAGCCAAAGTTTTATCTCCAACATATTGTTCAAGATTAATAATGTTATATGTTTGATTATTTAGGTTTGAAAATATCATTTACACTTTAAACTTTAAACCTATAATGACATTATTCATCATATAATCTTGTTCAAATCATGTTTGTATTTCTAAACAAGATTCGAACAAATGCTCGAAGAGATTCAATCAAAGTTTGGTCAAGATTCGACAATAGTTTGAACATGATTCAAAGATGATTTGAGCATTATTTCAATATATTTCAAATAAAATTATCTAAGGTTCGAACAAGGCTCGAATATTTCTAATGGATGTTTAAGCAAGATTAGAAGATGGTTTGAAAGAGGCTAAAGCATGGTTTAAAAATTATTTAACATAATTTGAATAAGGTTAGATTAAGATTTGATCAATGTTTGAATATGGTTTGAATATGATTTAATAGGTTTAATATCATGTTGAACATGGTTCGAACATGGTTCGATTTGTATTGTTTTGTCTTGTCTTTTTGGAAATTGACTCATTTGAGTTGTCTTATTGAGCAAATATATATTTGTTTTAAGCACACCATTATAGAGGTATTACACTATTTGGTTCATATATATGATTGGCATGTGGAGGAAATATTTAAATAACGTTAATGAACAAGTTCTCAACACTTATACATCCCGTTTTAGTCAGTTCTTTAAGCGTTAAGAATTGCAACTTTTTGGATTACTAAGGACTCTTGGTGATGATGAGAGTGAGGGCTACATTAGCGGGAAACACGATCCATTTGGCATACCTAAATTTGCATTCATTGTGCTGGGGTTTGGAGAGTACCCATATGAGAAATCTCTCCAACAACTATTTGGGCATTCTTGTAGTGCATTGAGAGAGATGATATTTGAAAGCTTTGGTAGCATTCCTTTGTAGACAATATCCTCTTTAACCATCAATGTATTTTTTACGAAGATACTTGAATTGGTTTAAGATGAGAAAGCTTATTTTGGGTATTTTGGTACCAATGGGGTAAGGAAATCATGGAAGAAGACACTAAGAGGGTTGAATAGGGAAATGGTGCATTATAAGTAATGCACCTCTTATCTTGAATAAAAATGCTCTAGCTCAATAATGTGACTGGATTTGCCATACAATTCAAGTATATATAGCTCACATATAATTCAAAAAATCTAAAATATATTATTGTCATAAGTTCAAAGAATTTCTAAATCATTAGTCACAACTTTCCATGCATGATTATAACTATAATCATTTTAAAAAGTTCACTACCTTGCAAATCAAAACTTCATAAATTGCATTCAATTTTTTCTCGAGTTTATTTAATCTATCCAATAATATTCTAAAACATAATGAAGCATCTCTAGACCATCAATTCTAGCCTTGAAGTTCAAATGATAATCCAATTATCCAAATTATTTATTCTCTCTCCTAATATTGTTCTTATTATTTATACCTTGTCGTAACACACATTATCATGCATTAATATCTTGAGACCAAAAATTTCTCCATTAATTAACTTAAATTAATCAAAATATTTTTATTAATTAACGATATACTTGTGAAAAATATTGGAGCATTTCTTGCAAGCTAAAATAATTTTAGTCCTATATTATTACAAGAATAATTAATTATTTTTATTAATGTAACTAGTCTCTAATGTTTAAATTTAGTTATGATTAAATTTCTTTTGAATATTTCAGATTAATTAAGCATACTTTAATGGCTTAATCAATTATTAATAATTTTGGAATTCTCATTTTTTTCAAAATTAAACTCCCCCCCCCCCAAAATATCTTTTCTAAAATGAAATCTCTATTTTTATTAAATCTTGGCTGCTCCTCAATGGAATTTTAAATATTATTTTTAAAAAATTTAGTACTAGAATATCTTCCTAATTAAACCTACTAATTGAACACCCTGAATGCATTAAATTAAATTAGATTAAATCAATGATCAAATATTTTCCAAACTATTATTCAAAATACATGGAAATTATTTGGCCAAACCATGTATTCGGGGTACATACTCGTTTTACATTCTGTCTCTAAATGTAAAGTCACTCATACACCTGAGCATCCTCATCTTTGTGACACTTAATTTTTTACTTCTCTTTTAATGTCGCTATTACTTGTGTTCAAACACAAGGTGGTTTGACCAAGTATTTCCCTATAGGACACAATGGAGAAAAAGGATTCATTTAGCCGACCCCACGTAGTGGGATAAAGGCTTGATGTTGTTGTTGTTGTTGTTGTTTCTAACCAAATGTTTTAGGTGTATCTCTACATTTCTTAATATAGGCCAAATCTAAAATATCTACTCTCCTTACATGGTCATTGGAATGCCGACATTTTATGTGACCAAACCATCTAAGAGAACTCTCTCTAATGTTTTCAGCCACTGGAGCTACTCCAACCTTCTCACATATATACTTGTTTCACATGATATCTCTAAGTGTAAATCCACTCATCCACTTGAGTATCCTCATCTCTATAACATTTAACTTAATGTTTTGCTTCTCTTTTAATGACCCATATTCTACATCATAAAACATTGCAGGTCTCACCACTATCTTATAAAATTTTACCAAGTTTATGGGGTACTTCCAATCACATAGTAGGCCCGATAGATTCCTCCACTTCAACCATCCAACTTAAATTCTACTTATAATATCCCCATCAATTTCACCATCGCTTTGAATAATAGACCCCGGAAATCTAAACGTGCACTCTTTTTAATGATGTGATCACCAAATGTCATAATCCTATCACTAGATCTATTACTATAAAAATTACATTCCATGTATTCGGCTTTAGATCTATTTAAACAAAAAGTTTTAGACTATAAGGTTATTCTCCAGAATTCAAGTTTAACATCACCTCCTCTCTAGTCTTATCAACAAGAATAATATCACGAGCAAAAAGCATACATCAAGGTATATACTCTTGTAAATGTCTAGCAAAAACATCCATGACTTAAGCAAAAATATATGGGCTTAAAATTGATCCTTGATGTAATATAACTGAAATTAAAAAATGCGTGATCAATAGCTCTAATGACTTCAATATAAGCGTTATTAACTACTTTCATTTCTAGAACTCTCCATAACACTTTTCATGGAACTTTCACATGTGCTTTTGATAAATCAATAAATATCATATGAAGATCTTTCTTACTCTATATATACTTCTCCATCAAACCTCTCAAAAAATATATATAGCTTCCATAGTAGACATATCTAGCATGAGTCCAAATTGATTATATTTAATTTGGTTAAGTTACAAATAATATTAATTTATTTCATTAATGTCTTTTTAATTAATTAATATTAATTATTTAAATTAATTTAATTTATTAATTAATGTCATTTTTAATTAATACCAAATAATATCAATTATTTTAAAATCTAATATCCTAGTATTTCTCCCCAGATCCCTATACTCCAAAATTCCAAAACCCTTGAGAACACGTGAAGAAATTGCAATGAGCACTCGTTGGGCAATGCATATATGGGCTCAATGCCATGTGATTAAGAAGAAAACTTCATGAGACTTGTTTATTTAGGTTATTTACTAAATCCAAGATGTAAGGCAAAATGGAGGAGAAAGGGGATCTAAGATTCTATAGGAATTAAATAATCCGTTGTATCATTTGGTAGGTTTAGCTTACATCCTTCCTAAATCCTGTGTAAATGCTGCAACCCAATAGCCCATTAGAAAAAAGAATCAAAACATTGCCATTTTAAATGTAAATTTAATTGGGAAGTGAAGCATTGTTCAATATGATGAAAATGAAGGTAAAACTGCTTGAATGCTGTTTTTTTATATACTTTCTAGGCTAGCATTCAAAGAAGCTTTCCCTATAAATTATGATCTTCCTAGAGCAATAAATCACATTGGAAAAGCACAAGAGCATTGATATAAAGTACCATCCTAGTATAATAGAACAAAATTTGCACGGACTTACAACATTAGTGTGGACAATTCCAGGAGAAACACAGATTACATTGATGCCAGCTTCAGCCGGTATTCTCTTTTGAAGGATGCTACTGAATTTTATCTGTTATCCAAAAGATTATTCTAACTTCAGATCAAGGAAACATCAGCAGGACTGGAAAGAACTTTCAGTATTCATCAACTTTCTAATTCTAGAAAAAAAATGATTGTACGTGAAGCACATTGTATACCTACAACACACATGACAAGAAACAGGCACGTAGTTTGAATTTATAAGGAGAACGCTCTGGTACATAAATGGATAAGACTTGATTTAGAAACAGAAAACAATTGGGAAACAAATTTCCTTGACCAACAGAATGGAATTTGACGAAATCATATCGTAACAAACTTCGACAAAATTTCAACTATGCAAACAAATGAACTCAAAAAAAAAAAAAAATCACCAAAGTATTAATCCAGACCTTGCATCTGTAAAGGAATTACATCATCAATGTATTAAACAAGACTCATGCTAGTATAAGGATAAAGCTTCTTCTGGAAGTTGTAAGCAAAACTTGCATCGCACTCAAGAACTCGCATCCAACTAGAACACACTAAGTTTGAGCAGAAAACTGATATTTTATTAAGCCAATTCTGAATTTGGCATGCCTAGAGACCACAGATTTATAATTCAAACTAGGCCTGCAATTGATAGTTGGAAAATAATCCCACAATCAGACCTTAAGCATAAAGAAAAAAAAAAAGCTTCCAATTCACCTACAGTAAAAAAATAACAACGCACATTTTTTGTGTAGTAAAAAATATATGATTCAACAGATAAGGTTCTGCTTTTGCTACAGTGCATTTAGAATGAAAACAGACTGTAGTCGAACTCTACCTTTGCTAAATAGCAGAATCGTTAAGGAAGCAAACAAGCAACAGTCCAGCTAAAGTGAAATATCAAATACTAATTATAATAGGAAATATATAGCATATTAAAGAAAAACAGAGTTAGATGAATAGAAAAGCAGGCCAAATCAGTGGTAATGGAGCAGTTAAATGTCACAACTCTCAAAAGAAAACCAAATAAACACATGAGAAACTATCCAAATCACTCAAATTTGCATGAATCATAGTTCCTCAACAAGGAAACAAATTTTGAAGCTAGAGAGAGAAACTCCGGGAGAGATTTGAATTTCTGTTAGCGGGACTTATGTGGTTCCTCCGAAGTGGTGGGGGTGGCCACCGGGCTTCAGGGTTAATCCTAATGGAGGTGGTATCAAGTCGTCTGTTGGAAGTGATAAGGTGAAGATGCTTGGATCTAGGGGTATCAAATTGTGTCCATGGGTCGGGTTCGGGTCCAACCCAATTTTGACTTGGAAGATTTTGACCCAACCTAATTTGAAAATCAGGTTACTTTTCTCAACCCTAACCCAACCGGTTAGGGTTCGGGCCAACCCGGCCCGACCAGTAAGCAAACGAACTCAAAATCGACAACGAGGCTAGGCGAGGCAGCACGGCAATGGGATCGAAGTTCATTTACTGTGGCTACGAGGCTCAGCCCGTTGGCGATGCCGCCTACTCGCCGAAGTAGATGAAGCGGTGGCCTTCGCTGTCACGCCCAGGGCGATATCTTCTACAGGAGCAGAGACTTTCTTCTTGATAGCCGGGATGGCCCTGGCAATGATGGGGTGGCGCACCTGATGGCTGGGATGGCGGAGACGGCTAAGAGGTGGTGGAAAGCGTTTGAACCGGCGAGGATTGGTTTTTTTGGTGGGAAAGTGCCACTATGGATAAAGAGAAAGGGGCTAAGAGTGGTGGTTACGAGCAGGGCGGGCTGAAGAGAAAGGGGCTGACACAGCACGGTGACATGCGAATGCAGACTACGGACGGGCAGAGTGGCAGACTAGACAAGGTCACACATGTGATAGCCATGTTTCTGGGTCAACCCGGGTTGATTTCTAGTTTTCAGATAGGGCTATCAAAATCAGGTCACGAGTCAAGTTTGGGTCCAACCCAGAACTAATCCAGCACTATTCTGGTCAATCCAAACCTGACCCATTTTTTGAAAAGGCTCAGTTTTTCGAACCCAAACTCGACTCGCTTCGGGTTCGGGTCAACCCGATCCGACCCGTAACAGACAAATCCCATAAATCAGCCTCCTACCCGAAGCAGGGAGAGACGACAGTGTTGTCCGGAGTAGGGAAAGGCAGTGGCGTCGGGGGCAAAGAGAGGCAGCAAAGTCGGGAAAAGGGAGAGGTGTTGGATTCAGGTTGTAGAAGAGGGAGAGGCGGCGAGTGTCGACTTAAGGCTAGGGTTTGGTAATCGGACCGACAGCATCAGGATTCGGGAGAGGTGGCGAGATAGACTGGGATGAGAGGCTGGCGGTAGAACAACGAGATGGCGACGGAAGAGGGAGAGGTGGATCGTGAGGGACAACAAGAGTTCGTGAATCGTGAGTCGCAACAGGTGCAGGAGTGCGAGACAGCGGAGGACAACGGACACCTTTTAAGCTTTTACTCGTTTAATCGTTTAAGCGATCACTGTTTACATCAGGTCACGAGTTATTTTTCGGTTTCCGGGTCAACCCGAACCTGACCCGATTTTACAAACGGGTCAAAATCCCTAACCCGAACCCGACTCAATTTAGGTTCAGGTCAACCAGGTCCCGAAATTTATGGGTCAGGTTCTGGTCGGGTTTTCGGGTCGTATCAAATATTGACACCCCTATTTTCGGGTCAACCCGAATCCAACCCAATTTTGCAAACGGGTCGAAAACTCAAACTCGGACCCGACCCGTATGGCAAATGGGTTGACCCGAACCCGAAATTTTCCAGGTCGGGTCAGATTTTGACACCCCTACTTGGATTTGGTTTTGTTCCGTCATATCGAAGAGGAGGTAGAGGTTCTTCCCTGGTGATAAGAGAGCCTGTTCTTGTTCTGGAACATCATATTGTTTCTGTCGGTGTCGGCAAAGGTAAGCAAGTTCTAACAGAGGTAGAAACGGATTATGAAGATATTAGTAATAAGGATCCTTAAGATCCTTACATGGGTGATGGAAGAATCATATCTCACAGAGGAGAATCTTCTTCCAAAAACAATCTAGATCCAGATAGTGAAGTTCTTGATGTCAAAGCTCCTGATTTTCCTGATTGTAATGAACACCTTCAAGATGAAATTGTAATGTCCCAGAAGTTGAACATGTTATTAAGAGTAATGGTATTGAAAGATCATGTTGTAATCTAAAACAAGTAATGGAATAAATAATTTTTTTCCATTTCTAAAATTTCCTTCTTTCCTCCAAACATCCTAGGGCTTACAAAAAACACGAGTTAAATTTGCACTTAATCATAACTCCTACAAGTGCAGTCTGCACCTCCTACAGCCTTAGAATCAATCCAGCCATATTTCAATTGCTAGAAACCTTTCCAACATATATTCAGATGTTTTGCTAAAAATAGAAAGTCTACTCACTATTTAGGTTCAAAAAATTAACATTAACAGTTATCTCTTGATGCATTCCATATGAAATTCAATTTCTTTATACAACATACTTCCATCGTTTTCATAAGCCTTCATAGATCCAACTCCAAATTATATTTGAGCATCAGAATGCTAGTTCCAACCCTTAGAAATAATTTTTCAAGGCTAAATTAATAACTGTAAAGGATATCCAGGTTATTTTTTGGAGCCCCTGAGATCTACGACTATGAAGAGAGATAATAGATAATTGAAAATCTTTTAGCATGAAAAAATGAATGACCAAACAAATCATAAATCAGATAGCCATATATTTGTGTGGGCTCCGAAAATTCGGCCTCGGCCTCCACTCGCTTTTCTTATTCGGCGAGGGAGTTTTAACGAACTAAGTTCCGAGGTAAATTTTGGAAGGGTTGCCTTTTAAACTCTTATTATTAAGATAGCACAACCATCATCTGCTACAACACCTATCGAGCTATGATGCACCGACATTTCTTCTCAAAGAGGCGTGCAATGTCCGACACCGTGTCCGACACGACACTCGTCCTACACTCCTCTGACACGTGTCGGACACGCCAAAAATGTGTCCGATTAAAAAATATTAAATGCAAACTGTACACGCGTGTCCGACTCACGTATCTTAAATATTTTAATTTTTTTAAATATAATTTCTTGTATTTTGTGGGATTTAAACTAAATTTCTTATTTCCTAGCCACAACACCAAATCAACGTCCGCACTTAATACCCAATCATCGAATATTCTCATTTTAATTTCATTTTGGCAGTTAAGGTATTTTCATCTCCTCTCTCGGTGACTGATAAATGGCATCGACGCCTGACTCTCGACGCCTAAAATATTAATTGTTGTATTTTGAAACTTACAAAAAAAGCTAGTGTACATGCTCGGTACCACTAGGTATCGCTAGGTACTGCTCAGTACATGCTTGGTACCGCTAGGTACATGCTCAGTACTGCTCAGTACATGCTGGGTACCGCTAGATACATGCTCGGTACCGCTTGATCTCTTTCCATACGAATAACTTACGAACTTTAAAAATAAGCGGAACTTCAAAATTACTCTTACCCTGGCAGGTTGAACCTCGTCAGGGGGCAGCGCCCCCCTTGGACCCTCGACAGACTGGTATATTGTTGTATTCATGTTGTCTTATTATTGAGATATTTTAATTTCACTTCATATAAATTATAATTTCTATGTTGAAGGATAGTAGTTCAAATAGAGAATATCTATTATGATTTAGGAGGAATATAAATCTTTGTCTTCTATCAAGGAAAACCTCACTTTATATGACATGTGATAATAAGAAGTGGGATGTTGTTGGAGATGGGTTCGAGTGACTTGATGGTATGAGATTATTGGAGGTTGCAAATCTTTCTCTAGATAACCAGAGTTGGAAGCAATGATATTCAATGATGATGATATTGAAGGCCAAAGATCTACCTCTGAATTTAATTTTATTATTCCCTCTATTGAGTAGTTGGACCTTCATGTTGTAATAAATGGTTTTTTGCTTATATTTTTGTGGTTGTACTAGACATTTTGTACTAAACATATTTATGTTATAAGCTAAATAAGTTATCATGAAATTGATTTATTATTACTTGTCATCTTAATTTCTATATATTATATTAAAAAATTATTATGCTGTGTCCACGCCGCACCCGTGTCCTATATTTTTAAAAAATGTCGTGTCCCGTGTCCGTGTCGTGTCGTGTCCGTGTCGACGTGTCCGTGTCGGTGCATCATAGCTATCGAGACAAAAAAAGAGACATCTAATAAAAGTTAATAACGAATGGAGAAAAAGCTATCAACAAAAAGGGAAGCAAAGAAGAAAATTATAAAAAGAGAGACGAAGACCTTTCCTTCAATGTAGGAGTTGTCGGAATATTTAAAGCTCCGGTAATATGCAATTGAGATTCTAAGAACATATTTCAGAATTTATGCTTATCATAATAGGTAAAAATCACATTTGCTCATTTGAAGTTATCCTCACACGCCTTAGTGTGGTGAAATTTACAATCTAAAAACTATGATCTATCAATCTTGTCATGATCAAGATTTAAAAAATTGTTGAAAGCTCAATTCTATAACATTAGACATGAAAAAAAAAAAAAATAGATATGATGAGAACATTTGACGCAGGTAAGAACAAATGTGAATGAATACATGTTGAATTTAGAAATTTTATGCTTGTAAAGAAAGGAGAAAATTTTAGAACCAGTCACTCTGTTGTTGAACCTTTAAAAGGAGCTGAAAAAGTGACACATAGAGGATCCTAACAAGAAGTCAAAAGCTCTCTTCCTAATGAAGAGCGCCAAATATATAATCGCAGTAATTTATTGGAGAATGAACCATCCTAACCTAGTCAAATGCTCGTCACTACAAGGAAAAGGAGAAGAAACAGAAGAAAGAATAGGTTTAAGAGGCAAAACAAAAAAAGAACTCGCATTTGCAGGAGAAAATAATAAAAAAACGGGAGCCATTATCAAGTTCTAAAACTATGCTAATATAATTAACCTTGAAGGTATTAATATACAAATATGAACTGAGTGGATAATTTTAAAATCCAAATAAGGCTGACCAGTTAGGCGAGAGGACAGATAAAAATAGTTGAAGAGAATTAAGAAAACTACGCTATATTCCCTTCACAAAATTTTAATTCTTATCCTAAGGGCTGGTAACATTTAAAGAGGAAATCTAGGAAGGAGTAAGCTACTTTGAGGTGTAGTTCCATTTTCTCGTATTTCTTTTTCATTGGAATAGACATTTATACTTCTTGGATCTCTATAAATAGAGATCAAGTAGTAATATTAAATCATGAAAGAATGGAATAAAATCTCACTTTCCACTTCCAGAACTTCCTCATTTCCTCCATATACCCACCAACTTCCCTCTCCCTCTCTCTGTTTCAACCCTCCAACAATGGTAGAAGCCGTCATAGACCCCAATAGCCATAGGACTTTAATTTGCAGCAATCCTAACTCCTGCAAGTGACGACCTTCAGCTCCTCTAGCTGTAAAATCAATCCAGAACAAGCCCAGCCACAAGAGACCTTTCCAGCACATTATGCTGCTGTTTTGCTCCCAATTTTGCTAAAAAAAGAAAGTTTACTCCATATTTTGGTTTGGAAAACAGTGAGAATATCATTTTCCCTTGACCAATTCTATAGAAAAACTAATTCACATGTTCTAAATACTGCCTACAAGTTCCAGTAAGCCTTTAGCACATCAAAATCCAGATCAGTACTGCAGAAAGTTTGATGTTGGGCAGGAGTTGCACTTGTCTAAATAGAAAGCCAATCGACTACAATAACATGATCGTCGTTACCTGTGCCAGCTTACTATTGGAATATCCTGCCAAGCTTGTATATTTTCTCTTGCCTGAAGTTATATTCATATCTTCTGGATTGACAAAACCCACGGAGTGCATCTGGGAAAAGGAAGTTCAATGGGAATCAGGAAATTAAACAACAAAAAAGTTAAATTTTCTAGATATCAACATGAAATACAGCACAAAAATGGAAAAAAAAAACAATAAAATGCCAGAGAATTAGCATGCCTAAAAGGTTATTACAAACAGCTTTTCCTGTTGTCAAATTGAGACCTTAGAAGAAATAAAAGGTAGTAATATCCCCTTGCTTGGTTCCATTATGAAGCTTTATTAAAGTCATCCATCAACAATTCAGCTTCAGGCAAACACTGCAGAATTTAATAGCTTACTAAGTGTTCTAGAATAGGTTTCAACTTTGCAGTTCTGAAAGCAAGAAAAGCTATGTTTAAATTAGCTAATCTTTTGACCCATCGTAAGATGTGCAATATGATCCCTTCAGATATTAATAGTTGTTTATTAGAACATATGTGGCATAAGACTCCCAAGTGGAACCATAGATTATTAAATTTCATGTAAAATGAAGCATATTAATATGAATGCATGCCCTAAATGAGGAGATCAAAGAAATGTGTCGATTCAAATGGTCATTTCTAACATTTAAAAAAAAAGAGAGATTTACCAAGAGGGGCTAAAAGAAGAGACCTAACTAATGGTTACTTGTTTACCTGGTTGGGGAGATAAACATAACGTACAATGCACACCTACATGCATACATACAAAAAGATCCATTCATCCCCATCCACACCACCACCATCACTACAAAACCAGACACAAATACTTCATGCAAATAGAAATACTACAACATAAATCACAGAACAATTACATCATTTTCCTTAATATCTAATTAATCATGCAAAAATAAGTTGATGCATAGAAAATTGAAGATTGAAATTCCAAGAAATCAAATCGTTAATGGCAGCTAGGAAGATACAAATAATCAAGGCGGTCCATATTATCCTATTGTTTGCTGTAATAAAATAACAACCATCTTCGATATTACTAGATAACTAAACATAACTGAACTCTAAAAAAAATAAAAAAATAAAAGAAAAATAAATAAAAAAAAAACATCACTGAAGTCTCATTAATAGAAACGATTCAAGCAATTCACAAGTTGATCCATATATAACTTACAATGGAATTCAAGTTAATTATTCTGCTTGGAGAACCAAGGAGAAGCGATGGTATAAGCAGCATAGACAATAATGCCGGAGCCAAATGGTTCACTTGCATATGTTCTTCATACCCATCCTTTGAAAAGCGCTGTGACTCTAATATAGGCAAGGCATGAATGATTAGTTCAGAGTCACAATTATATAGACATTTTATCATCCTTCTCACATGGAAAAGTCTATTCTAAAACTAACAGCAGCATGTAGAGATCTCAATATCTTATTGGACTGTAATAAAAGTTACCATCGGCAATATATTTGACACTAAAGGATTTTTAAAGCTTTATCTACCATGTACCACAAGAACAATTAAACTTTTCTCATGTAAGGACAACTAGTAAAGAAATAAACTTTCAGAATAAACATCAACGAAGCAAAATATTTATCTTAGAAAACTGTTTTTTCTCACAGCATTCTGACCACAAGATCAAACTTATTCTCAGAAAATTGCTCTTCCTTCTCACAGCATTCTGACCAGAAGAAGCTACCATTTAAACATATTTTAATAGTGTGTACGCTAAAGTGTGAGTTGAAGACAAACCACAAGAGTAGTGTGAAGTGGGTGTGAAGTGACGCGCAAGCTATTTCTTCTGGAAACCTTCACTTCCTAACTTGAATCTTTTTCAATCAATCTGAAATATAGAAACTGAATATGCAACAATAAAAGCAACTAGTGTAGAAAATAAACCAATAAAAGCAACTAGTGTATTATTTTGAAACACAATCTATGTGTACAGTATTAATTTAAAATATTAATTTATTATGAGTGAAATAGTTATAAGATCAATTACATGAGTTTACCACCTTACACAAGCTTTATAAACCTATTTCATATAAAAATAAATATACAAAACTCCAAAAACAAAGGTGATATAAAGATAATGAGAATAAGTAACAACAACAACATCAACATCAAATCTTTATCCCACTATGTAGGATCGGCTACATAACATCAAGCCTTTATCCCTTTATCCCCTAAATATTAACAAATAGTCAATTTAATTGGGAGTTTGACAATGCTCCAATTTAGTCCCTCAACTATTAAAAATTGATCTCAATTGATCTCTAAGGCCAAAATTCAGAAGAAAGGAGACTAAAGTTAATGGAAAAGGTTAATGTCAAGGGTATTTTAGATATTGCAACTATGTTATATTGATTTCTATACTTACTATTTTCATTACCATAGTATTTGAGCAATTTGTCATATGTGAAATAAAAACTATATAACAACAACAAACCTTTATCTAAATTTATAACAATAAAAGCTATATAAATTACAATTTAATTAGTATTTTACTTATACTAATAAAATGGCTGAAAATTTTGAGTGTTTGAGTATTTGCACAGTTAAGTTCATATATGATGCACATGACTAATCCATTAAAAGTTTAATTAAATGCATAATAATATTTCCCAACCCATTTTACTTCATATAATTAAAAATATATTTATTGGACTAAATTGGCAAAATGTAACTTCCAGCAAAATAGTAATTCAAATGATGATGATTGATGTAAATCGTCCTTTCAAATGATGATAATATGAAGGAAATGGGCCAATAAAAAATATTTTTAATATATATAGGCCGCTTAATCAAATTAATATTCACATATTAAGGTAATGAGCCTAATGAGATTTGATATTTGTCTTTTGACGTGGACTTAAATTTATGCTAATTAATAAGATTTTGATCAAAAAATAATTGATCTTAATGTTTTTGACATGTTGTAATGTTTATATTTAATGAAAAATTACTCAAATTACATTGATTAGGCAAAGAAGACTAATTCCGATAATAAAATATCTATCATTAATTTAACTATAATATTGTTTGAAAATTATATTTATTAAGTGTATAAAACATTCCTTACAATATATTCAAATTATCTAAATTAAATGGTTTTATTTTTTTAGAAAATACTTTATTATTTTAATTATAACTCTTCTATTTTACTATCATTTTATTAAAATTATTAATGTTTAATTTGTGTAAATTAACTCTTAATAAAATTTAAAGCATTGTTTATTTATTCCTGCATTAGCCATGGTGGGTTGTGCTCATGCCACATTCCGCAATCACTGATATGTCTTAATGCCCACTCGAACATCCTAAATCCTACTCACATCCCTAATTCAATGGAGACGTTGCTTCAACAATGCTCGTACTCTCGCATGCCCTAGTTCTCTGCTCACCACTAGTTCGCAATTTCTAATCACACGTTTCCAGTTGCTAGTTGTTGTATCTTGCACTGCCTACAGCGTTTATGCATTAGATTTTAGATTTTGATGATTGAGAAATTAAAAAAATAGTAGTTATAAATTAATTTTTACTAAAATATCCTACTTAAATTATCAAGCAAAGGAATCAATGACTCTTCCCATCAATGTGAATGGTTTGTTTAATCCCGCTAGAAGGGTTGAGGGGGACAAATGGGATCAATTTTCAATAAGGGAAAAATTTTTAGCGAAAAAGTCTTGAACTATATTGGCCACTTATAAGAATTAGATAACTATTTTGACCTTTTTGTCTCTAAAGTAATTATAAAATACAAACAGTGCCTAAGGAATAGCATAAATGGTGAGAAGATGAAAGCATCGAAAACAATCAAGCTATAGGAAATTAGGACAGCATAATAATGCTGCATCATTCAGCAAGGCAATGAAAAAAGCCATGATAGCTAAAGAAGTATGTGAAAATTAAAAAAAAAAAACAGGGACGGAGGAAGTTTGGATAGTTACAGCAAGCATATAGTTATTCTAACAATTAATTAAGAAAACTATCATGAAATTAATTACTATAATAAAGTATGGTTTCAATTATATATGTATATACCTTGTAGTCTACATTTAGAAGGAATAGAAAAGAACGCTATGCTCTCTTTCTCTCTACTTACTATCCTTAATTTAGTATCTACTCAAAAGATACCCATTCTTGATATAGTAATGTATCAACTAATGCTCTTGGCATCAGGAAAAAAGCGGATCTTACGGAAGCCATAAAATCATTATAGTTGTCGCATCGAATTTGTCCATAAATAACACCCTGACCCTACCCACAAGACTAACAAGAATAATAAAGCAAGATAAAGGATAGATTGGTGAATAAAGAGAAGAGCTCTTGAACTTTATTGCTCTTTATGAATAGTAGAAATGGTATAAGTATCAAAAATGTCTTTTAATAATATATTTAAGGGGTCAGAAAGAGTGGCTACACCTAAACAAATAATAAAATAGTACAAAATTTATATGTTAAAAACATATAGTCTAGACCAAATGGGCACATGTGGGCAATCATATATAACACAACCTCGACAATCCCAGGCGAGCGCCTCAACTGAGTGCCTCCAGTAAGTTGCTTCAAATGGTGCCTCTATCAAATAACCTCTTAGGATGTGGTGTCGACTAGAGGGTGTAGTCTCTAGTGCTACTGAGTTGGAAAAAATGAGCATCTCCGGCTAATAAGGTAAGTGGTCATCTAGTAGAAGCGAGCGCCCTCACGAGGCTGAGGTCTTTTGATGTTCACCCTTCCTAGGGATAGTGACTTATCAAGATAAAATCTTCGAGGTAAATGCACCTCTCAATCATGCTCTTCTGAGGTGACTGCCCCTCTTTGTTAAGCTCCTCTAAGGCAAATGTCTCTCTTGATTGACCTCCTCTAAGGTGCATTAGCCTAGTCTCCAAAACTTTAATCAATTTCCTTGGTTCCTGCAACTTGCCCAAATGATGAGTCCAATAAATCCCAATTGTCCCTTGGCATTTTGATCTTACGGCTAGGATAGGAATCAATGGGAGGCTCACCTGTTAAATGCAAGCTGTCCCTTGGCATTTTGATCCCACAACTAGAATGTGAATCCGTTGGAGGCTCACCTGGATCACACCGATCTCCTTCCATATTTAGCTGACTGATTTAGGAAGGATTATATTAGAGCTATTATGCATGATTCTATAATTATTTGTTTCTTTATTAAGATATCTTGTATATATCTATAAATAGGGACAACAAATTAGTGCAATAAAATTAAGCATTTTCCTAAGGTATACATTTAATTACCTGATTCAAATGTACCTTTAAAGAGCAACCTGCAAAAAGAAGTATAATATTATAACAAAGCTATTTTTGTGTGAATTAATATTCAAGAATGTATTAAATAGACAATATCTAAGAAAATGTTGAATGAAGAATGTCTAAATAACTTTCTATTTGAATAATTTTTCAAGTGTAATTTGACCTTTTGTTTTTTACTTCTTCTAAGTCAACGCCAAACATGGGCCTCATCTTTCGCCAAACTTTTTTCATGAGTTTGCCATCTTAAATCACTTTTTAGAAAGAAATTGCTCTCATTACTTTGTGCAAAATTTATTGTAAAAAAAAGGAGAATCCGAGTTCTAGAGTTTGACTTTCTTTCTAAAGATGATAAGAGATTCAACCCAATACTTTAGAGTTCTAGGATATTATTTATAAATGCTCATTAGATATATCTTTTTTTCGTAGAGTGAAATTTATGCTCTGAATTAAGTTGTTAAGTGTAGAATGTCAATCTACCTAGTGGCCTTAGCACTCCTGTAAGTATCAGTTTCACAATGTTTAAACATGAGCCTAAGCCGAGATCACTTTGAGCTGAAGCTTAAGTTTGACTACATTTTCCTTATCTGATCGAGCTTCACATAAGAAATAATTTTCTCATATATTGACTGAAGTTCTTAACGCATCGGCTTTTTAGTTTGCAACCAACCAACTCCAAACTTGGAGCAATTACATTAGATATTAGGTCTAGCTTCTCTCATCGGTTCAAGTTTTCTTTGAGGAATTTGACAGTAGTGATGGTTTGGATTGGAAGCATATAAATGAGAAAGAAAAAGAAAGAGATTTCTTAGAGAGGATCAAGTTTACCCAATTTTCAAGTTAAAATCTATTAGGTTATTTAATTTTCTCTTTGATGACTTTCGATAAATTAATTTTTTATTCAGTAAGTTTAATTATTGTTGGAGTAGAGTACATTATAGTAACGAAGGAGGCAAACTCCCCGAGTTTTGAGCAAATAGCCCTTTTGTTAATGAGGGTCCCCTGTCCCTCATTCGCTCATGCATTAGAGGATTGT